TCACCTCAAGCATGTGGTCACCAATGCTAATGTGTGGAGTGCTGACTGATATCCTGAGCCAGGATGTTTGTTTTCGTCAGGCTGATAAGATCAATCTCCATGCAGGCTTGGGCAAAATGGTTGATGAGACTCTGTAGAGCTTCCTTGCACAATCAGGACTGCATCATCTGCAAACATAATCTCTGATCTGCAAACAACGTTGACTGATCTGCAGTTCTTAATTTAAGGGATGGGGACATGTAGCAGTTGCCTTCCCAGATATTGAAAGAGTTAAACTTTATGACTCCTGCTTCCTTAAGGAGGGCCCTGCTGGATCAGGCCAGTGGCCTATCAAGTCCAGCATCTTGTTCTCACAGTGTCCAATCAGATGCCCACAGCACAGCAGGTGACCTGAGCACAGTAGCACTTTCCCCACTTCCAATTCCCAACAGCTGGTACACACAGCCATACATCCTCTGCCACTGGAGGTAGGACGTAGCCCTTGCCCATGTAATAGTACCAGGTAGTTTGTTGAACTTCTGCCATTCTGATCCTAGGAGAAGGGATGGCTGTCTTTCCAAGAGCGCTCCTTTTGTGCCAGAATGACCAAGGTTGGTGGCATATCATGTCTCTCTGCCCCTGCCTCCTCAAAAACCTGTCCAACATCCTTTCAAATGGGAGATGCATTACTCCCTAGTTGGGTCTTGGAAAAAGCATCCCTTGGTCATCTTGGGTTCAGGGAGGGGAGAATGGAGGGGGAGAAAGAGGTAGCAGGTTGGACGTCTATAAAAACCAGCCAATTGAACACCTTTGGTTGGGAATTGCCACATGAAGAAGAAGAAGAGGAGTTTGGATTTGATATCCCGCCTTTCACTCCCTTTAAGGAGTCTCAAAGCGGCTAACATTCTCCTTTCCCTTCCTCCCCCACAACAAACACTCTGTGAGGTGAGTGAGGCTGAGAGACTTCAAGGAAGCGTGACTGGCCCAAGGTCACCCAGCAGCTGCAAGTGGAGGAGCGGAGACGCGAACCCGGTTCCCCAGATTAGCAGACTACCGCTCTTAACCACTACACCACACTGGCTCAGCACAGCTTTGGGGACCGCAGCATAAAGCCGCAGCCTACGTGTGTTGCAGAGTTGTGTGACATGGCAAAGGCAGCAGTGGTATGTGAGGGGTGATGTAGACCAAGAGCGTGGTACCTTAAAGGAGCGTGGGGTGAGGATTGTCTTGATCACCGGGCAGTTTTCAGGTCAGCTGCTGAGAAGATCTCGCACATCTGTGGAGCAGGGCTGATGGTGATCCACAGTGACAGCCTTGCTTGTTTGCCCGTGGCACAGTCAGCGAGCCAGACTGAGGAGATGCGACAGCCCAGCTCCTTTTGCCGATCCGGTGTGCCCCCCCTCCCCATTTCACTCCATGTATGCCACTGTTTGGCCAATAAGAAATGCAGCAAGCGAATGAGGTTGAGAGCCTGAACCTTATCACGATCTGCATATGCAGGCATATATGCAAAAAAGCAGGGCTATTCAACATTGTTGATTCAATACAAGTCATCTGGAATTCTTTACATGAGCTGGAAATCCTGGAGTATTTTGGTTATATCTCCTTGCTGGGATCATTCTCATGACACTGTGTACTTGCAGTGAATCATAAATTTTCTCCTCCTCTGCTTCTCCAAGATAATAATTCCTGTTATTTCCATAGTGGCTTATCTTCTAAGGTTGACCAAATATCCAGGGGCACTTATCCTCACTTTCCATTTTATTTTAGCTTCCAGCTGAGCTAAGGGATTGTTATTTCAGGGCAATTGCTGTGAAACATGAAACAAGGACACAGAGCACCTAAACTGTTGCTACCATTTGCTACCTCACTGCCTATTCTTTTCTTAAAGGGTCCTTAGAAAACTGGCTCCATCAGGAATCAGGATCTTGAAACATCCTATTGGAGAAGGTGATTGAGCAACAATTTGGAAGGCACGTGCGCGCGCGCACACACACACACACACACACACACACACAGTGTGTATCCTGTTTGTTCTTTCACTAGCCATCCTAGCAATCCAAATCCTATGCAAATCCACAGAGAGAGATTTTTCTATCCAGTCAGTAGACATAAAGCAAAATATCAAAATGAGAACAAATTTTCCAATTCTAAAAGTCACAATTGATTTTTTAAAAATAGAAATATCTGGTAGAAGTCATAGTTTGGAGCCAAAATTTGAATTTGTTACAACTCAGTTCCTGCAAAATCAGGACGCTCGTGCCCTTTGTTCAAAACCTAAACTCCAGTGCCAGCATTGAATTTGAACTCAGCTATGAATTTACAAGGCTCCTATTCCATTTCTTGGGCCTCAGGATTTATGTTACTACAAATCTAAGTCTGCAGCAGCAAGGCACAGATTCCAGTGACAGATGTGCTTTCTATAACAATTCCCATTTATTGCTGCAGTCCTCCCTGCCCAACATAAGTTTATGTGGGCATTATCAGCTGTTCCTCTTCTTGGCAGCTTCCAGATTTGGTTTGAGGTAGCTGTCAGTCCAAACATCCCATATCTAGTCCTTCCTTAGGACTGAGCAGATGGAGGGGGAGAGGTTATCCCAAGGACTTAGCAGCAGGAAGTAAACAGCATCACGCAGTGCACCAGATTTTTTTGTGTGTGTGTGTGTGTGTGTGTGTGTGTGTGTGTGTGTGTGTGTGTGATTGTGTGTGTGTGTGTGTGCGCGCGGGCGGGAGGGGGGAGAGATATGCTTTACTTCTGTCCTCCACTAGATGGCAGAAAGGGACCAGAGAACAACTGAAGAGGTTTATAAAAGTTTGCTAAGGGTTACTGGGAACTGTAAGTATTTAAGGGGTAAACTATAGTGCTCAGAATTTTTTGAGGGTTAGCTTGTGTTTCGAATTTGCTTTAAACCTATAGTGTGTGCACATACAGAACTGTGGAGAGAGAGAACCTGGGTCATATGTGATGTAAATGGCAATGCTAACAGAAAGCCCACCTAGGGTGGCAGTTTTGCATGTTTTCTCTTGGCTTATTTTCATTATCCACAAGGATATTTGTAAAGGGGAGGGTTTTACATGTTTTAGCAACATGTCTCCTTTTGCAGAGCCATTGGAGCATGGCATTGCTGTGAGCTTGGAAGGGTAGGCTATATGCATCAACATGGGGAACCCTATACAGAGAGAAGCCCAGAGAAGTCTGGAAGTGCAATATCCAGCACAGAGTAGCAGAGGATGGAGGTTGGGTCCAGAATGCGGATTGCAGGTGTCGAATGCTTAGGAATATGCTCTTTGTCAGTAACATATTTGGTCACTTTGTACAAAGCCCCTTATTGTTCCAGCTTTGTAACTAGCCCGTGAGCAGCAATGACAATGTTCTTCTCACTCCCTTGTTCTGTTTGTACCAGACTGCTGCTTCCATTCTGCTGGATGAGTATGAAACTCAAGAAGCCTGCCTCAGCTGGGTCAATGAAAGTTATTTTACCTTCTTCCTAGCCTTTAGGGTAAACACTGTTCATATTCAGCTGCGAAGTTTACCAGGAGATATTGGTGGTCTCGGTCTAAGGCACTGCACAGGGTTGCTGTGAAATAACCTATAACTCCTTGATGGAAGACTGCATTATAAATGCATTAAATAAAGTTTAGGTCTGGGGGACTAGCGTAACATGCACAGCACATTTTTGTCTGTTTTGTAAGCAGAGTGGTGCATTGATTGAAAATTGATTAATACACTAACCTGTCAGGAGATTTCATTACTAGTTACATAGTAGAGCATGCAGATATGTTTATCAGTCACTGAAGCATGAAGTATTTGCATTCTCTGTATTCAATTTGTTTCAATTTGTGTTCAAAGCAGTGGGGATTTTTTAAAGTCTAATGGAAAGCATTTGCATGGAGAGGGTGAGGGAGGATTCATGAAGTACATCTGTAAATCTGGACAGTTGTTATTATTGTTATTTATTAAATTTATTTACCATTCTTTATCCAAAGATCACAGGGCAGTTTACAATATAATTAATGGAAACACAGGTGCAATTATCATGTATGATGTAATTTTCATGCCTTAAGCAAAACAAGTGCTTTCTGTCTGAAATGTGTAAGATTTGAAGTGGTGCTCAGAAACCTGAAAATGCCATTTACCTTTAGGTAACATGGTGAGTTACTAATTTTGTTTCTAAGCCCCTGTCGTGGTACACCATTATCCTACTTTGACTTTGAGCACATAAAACGGCTAAAATCTTCTGTCACCTGCTTGCAAACCCCACCCTTGTATCCCACAGGCTGAGCATCTGTGAAATCATGCATTTTTGACAGATATTCCAGTCAATGGATGAGCAGCAACAGACCTCTGTGCTGTGATGACACTGCTCTGGAATAAATGGAAAGTTGGTTTGGCTGGTGGGTTGGCGTAGAATCTCAAACTGAGCTGAGGAATAGGAGAGGGTGTGTGCTGCAAGGGTCTGGAAAGGAATGATAAAGGGAAGTGCTTCTGATCACATGCACAGAAAGTATTCTTTACCTTGGATACACCAGGCCTTGGAGCCTTTTCTCAGTGGCTGGAACATGTGATGCACTAAAGAAAGTAAAGAGAAAAGCTAACAAACAAACTGAAACTGACACGGGGACAGATAAAAGAGGATGCCTTGGCTCCCTTTTATTACATACACAGCCCAGCAAGACAACAACAAGAACCCACCAATAAATAAAAGAGTGCTTTTGAGTATGTGCAGAATGTCTCCCTTCCCCATTGGCAAGTAGCCATAGTCAGCCATACATAACCAAGGTTATGGGGGCAGGACTTCTAGGCAAGAGGTCATGTTTTGGCCATTTTTAAGCACTAGCTGCCAGGATGTAGAGCACAGGAATATACATCCAGTTATACTGATGATAATCCTTACCACTGTCAGCATTCTCCAAGAGGGGTCCACAAATATGGCAATCAGGGCTTTTTTCAGCTGGAACTTGCTGGAGCTCAGTTCTGGCACCTCTCAGGTGGTGCCATTGTCATTATAAGAGAACAAGGTTCACGGTGAGTTCCAGCACCATATTTTCTAGAAAAATCGCACTGCTTAGGTCCATTCATTTCAGTGGGTCTCCTCTTGAATACATCTTAGATACACAACCCTTTGCCTCTTCAGAGCAGGATGTGAAAAACACCAAAAGTTTTCTTGAAGTCTACTAGAAATAATTGGTTGGTTAGAACATGTGGACCCCTTTTTGCTCTTCCTCTTCTTATAAGCATTAATCTAATAATACCATTTAATAGAGGGTGTGTGTGTCACTGTGCAGTTGGTTCAGATTAGAGTTGATCAGAAGGCATGTCTTTGAACTGTGGGCCTGAAGCAATGAGAGAAGGGGGGGGGGGGAGCCAGCCGCCAGGAAAATCAGTTATGTTGCAGGCATGGGTAAGAGTGTAATTGACTCATTAACCAGAGGCCTTGCAAAGGGGAGTGTGTGGTGGTGACAGAGGGTGAGATTGTCCTGACCTAACAACCAGAGAGGCCTTGGAAAGGGCAAAGTGTGAGTTGTAACCTCAATATATGGGCCTGATACTAGTAAGGGTGTAGTTTACATTGTCAGGGTGATGGTTCGTCATGATACAGAAGGCTAATGAATAACATACTAGACTAGAGACATTTCAGGCATGCACAAATGTCAGATAAAGACACTGTCTATAACCAACCAACATCTTTATTGCATTTAGAATTTCAGGTGGGGCAGAGACTCCTGCCCTTTGTGCCTATAGGCTCCTGGTTTCACTCCCCCCTGCATTTCCTCCCTCTGGCCCGGGCTCTGGCACTCCGCTTGTCCTTCCTTTTTTGGAAAAAAAAAGTATTTTTAATTTTTAAAAAAAATTATTGAGAAAAATAATAATACATACAAATAACACAAATGCATCTCAAAACAATTAACACAAATATACATATAATACATATAGTTCCTACAAACTCAAACAAGACACCTTACTCACCCCATGACCTCCCTCCACCACAGCTCGACTTCCTTAAATTTTAATTTGATTGTTTCATTGCATTTCTAAGAATCTTCATCTCTTACAACCATTCCTGTTTTCATTTTCATCTTTGCTTTACCTACTTACTTAATCTACACTTACTAGGCATATATTCATATTCTCACATCTACTTTATATATTTAATCTAAGCATATTAACATTTTTTTTAGAACAGTATTTTTACATGTAATCTTCAAAACAATTCCATTCTAGTTTTAAATTGTGATTTGTTTGGGATCTTATGGCTGCTGTTAGTTTTGCCAACTCTATGTATTCACTTAGCTTAGTTTTTTTCCTATGGAAGTCCTGAGCATTTTTTTTAACTCATAATGTATTATACACCAGAAGCTTTTAATCTTTTCACAACTCCACCAAGTGTGGATCATTGTTCCTTCAGCTTTTCCGCATTTCCAACATAAGTTGAACTTTAGTTTGTAAATTTTTGCGAGTTTGGTTGGTGTCATGTACCACCTAAAGAACATTTTTATAAAGTTTTCTTTAACAGATTAGCAGGCTGTAAAGTTAATATCTACTTGCCATAGCCTCTTCCACTTTTCTAAATAGATAGTCCTGCCGATGTCTTGGGCCTATTTTATCTGCACCTCCTTTACAAATTCATCCTTCAAGTCCCACTCCAATAGGAAATCATACATTTTTGATAGAAGTTTCTTGTTATTTTTTAATAATATCGATTGGAATTTTGAATCTTTTTTTACCAAAAACTCTTTTGATATCTGATTTAAAGACACTATTCAACTGATGATATTGGAACCATTCAGATACATGTTGCCTTAGCTCCCCAAATGATTTTAACTTTAATTGGCCTTGGTCTTCTGTTATCAACTGTCTATACGAGGGCCAGTGTCTTTCCATGTGCAGTTTTTTCACAGCATGTGATTCCAGCGGGTATAACCACCAAGGAGTTTGTGGCTCCAATAATGGTTGATATCTGGTCCAGACTTTAAATAAAGCATTTCTAAGAATGTGACTGGTCAACCCGCTGTGTACTTTAGCTTTATTATAACTCAGATAGGCATGCCATCTGAATCTCTTACAGTGGCTCTCTAGATCTAAGATGCTGTTCTCTCCAATGTTATCCAATCTTTTACCCAAATTAGGCATTCCGCCTCATAATATAGTTTCAGATTTGGCAGGGCAAGACCCCCTCTTTCTTTCTTCTCCGTTAATAATTTATATTTTATACATGGTTTCTTGCCCTGCCAAATGAATCTTAACAAATCCTTCCTCCAGTCTTCAAAACATGATACTCTTTCAATTATTGGTAACATTTGAAAAGGATACAACATCTTAGGTAAAATATTCATTTTGATTATAGAGATTCTACCTAAAAATGATAGTTTCAACCTATTCCATGTCTCTAAATTTTTCTTCACTTCTTTCAAAAAAAATTATAATTATTATCAAATAGATTAAGATTTCTCATTGTTATATCAATACTGTACCTAAATACTTTGCTTTTTTCACAATTTGTAGACCTGACTGAGTTTGCAAATCCTTTTGCTCTTGTTCCAACATATTTACCATGATTTTAGTTTTAGTTTTATTTAATTTGAAACCAGAGACCTTACCAAATTCTGCTATTTTCTCTATTGCTTTAGGAATACTTTTTCCAGGATTTTGCAATGTTAAAATTATGTCATCCGCAAAGGACCTCAGCTTAAATTCCTTTTTGCCAGTTGTAATTCCTCTTATTTATGGTTCTCTTCTCAGTTCCAAATTTAGAACCTCCAGGGTTAATATAAATAGAGGAGGAAATAGGGGGCAGCCTTGTCTCATCCCTTTTTCGATTGAGAAATGTTTTGACTTCCCTCCATTAATTATGAGACAGGCTTGTTGTTTCTGATATATCACTTTTATACCTCTGGTGTACCTTTCTCCCATCTTAGATTCATCCAAAACTTTCTGTAAAAAACCCCAAGAGAAGTTGTCAAAAGCTTTCTCTGTGTCTATTAGCATGAAAGCAGCTTTTTTGCTAGGTTTTAAATCCAGATATTAAATTAAATCAATTACAACTCTCATATTGGTTTTCATATGTCTATTTGGTAAGAAACCCGCTTGGTCTTGATTTATAATATCTTTTAGATGTAATTTTAATCTGTTGGCCAAGATTCCCATAAATATTTTGTAAATTATTGTTTAACAATGATATTGGTCTATAACGTCTTACTGACTCGTGAGGGGAACTTTGTTTATGGATCAGCACTATGTTTGCATCCTGCCAAGTCTCTGGGGTCTTTCCATCCTGAATTATTTTATTCATCATATTTTGGAATTGTATAGCTATAATCTCCTCTAATATTTTGTAATGCATTGACGAGAGACCATCTGGGCCTGGCAATTTGCCCAATTTCAGATTTGAAATTACTTGATGCAATTCCATTCTAGTAATTGGTGCATTAAGTTGGTCTGCTTTTTCTTCATTGATTTTAGGGATTTCTTTCCCTTGGAAATAACTTATAATTTCATGCTCAGCCTCCGGCCCTGCCTTATAGAGGTTTCTAAAATAATCTAGGAAAGATTTGGTTATATCCTCTTCAGTATCTATTAATTTCCCATTTTGTAATAGTTTATTAATTTGCATTTCCTTCTGTTTCTTTTTTAGCTGCCATGCCAGCAATTTCCCGGGCTTAATGGCTAATTCGAAAATTTTTTTGCCTCATCCATAAAACATTGTTCTCTATTTCTTTATTTAATAATGCTGAGAGTTGTAATTGTAATAATTTAATATTTTGGTTTGCTATTTTATCTTTGGGAGATTTCGCTAATGTTTTCTCTTTCCTTTCAATTTCTTGTCTAATTTGATTTAACTTTGCTTCTCTAATTCTTTTTTGTAATATATTTTGTTGGATATAAAATCCTCATATGAAGGCCTTACTGGTGTCCCATATTATTCTAATATCCGTATTTTGTGCCATGTTAATTTCAAAGAATTCCTTTAGCAATTCTTGAGCCTTTTGTTTTATTTCCACATCATTCAGTAACTTCTCGTTCAGTCTCCAACCTCTGTAGTTCTTCTTGTCACCTCTTAGTTCTAGCTCCTGGTTTCACTCCCCTCTGCGTTTCCTCCCTCTGGCCCTGGCTCTGGCACTCCGCTTGTCCTTCCTTGTGCCTCCCCAGGAGCAGGATCTGATGAGGGAGACAATTTTGCTCGGCTTCCTGCCTGATGAAAAACCAAAGAACTGAAAGTCAGGTCCAGGAAGATGCGACTGAGCCAGAGGAGGCTGAGAGGTGAATGGATAGGACTGATGGCAGGGAGATGATGTCCGGGTGGATAAAAGCATATTGTGTGAGAGATGGATACATGTGGAAGAGGAGGGAAGTGATATACTTATGCAGGTAAAGTGTTTTTATACCATGATCATTTAGTCAAATAGGTTTCTCGCAGTCACTTACAAAACCAGAAGTGAGACACATAAGGAAAGAGGGAAGGGGCGGGCGAAGGGTGTGCAGGAGAGGAGAAATGCAAGCTCAGGGTGCTTCTAGACTGTGGCTATTTTTGGGTGAGATTCAATCACATACCAGCAAAATCGGATTGTGCAGTTTTAGTTGATTGGGAGGTCTTGTGGAACAAACCCACTTCCCAAAAAGTTCAGATTTCTTTGTGATAAGGAAAGTGATAGGAAAATGTACCGAAAAGTGTAAGGGCAAGATAACTTTTATTATTTTTTATGCAATGCAATCTAACCTCCCCACAAACAAATGATAAGAAATGCTCATTAAATAACCAACATTGTCTAATCTCCCTGCAAACAAATCAGAATGATTGCTCAACAAACAGGCTGTCTAGAAACAATCACGGGTACCAGTTCTTAAAGTTATAGTCCTTTTAATTACCAGCAGGAATTAATGACTGATAATGAATGACAGTATGGCATAGTGGTTAGGGTGTTGGACTAGGACCTGGGAGACAAGGGTTCAAATCACCACTTGGCTATGAAGCTCACTAGGTGACCTTGGGCCAACCAACATCTCTCAGCTTAATCTACCTCATGGGGGATAATATGGGGAGGGGGAGAGTCATGCACGCCAACTTGAGCTCATTGAAAGAAAGGTGGGGTGTAAAAGAACAAATGAATAAGTATTATAGTTCAGGTAACCTGATGAACTGGCTGCTGGTAGGTGGCAACTGGGGGAGGACCAAAGGCAGCTGGCCTGTCAGCAGAGATGGTGGAAGAGCCCTATTGTTCACTTTCTCTCCCTCTGCCCTGCAGCCCGATAGCATGAGAGAGAGAAGTATGTGGTGCGCAAAGCTGCCGCATAGCAAACTGTATCATCGCTCTGTCTGGTGTGTTACTTTCTACTCTGCATGGGGGCTTGATGTGGCCCTGGGCCCAGAGGTGGAACTCTAGCTGCTCCAGCACCCAGAGTGGCGCACGGCAAGCATCCCGGGGGGGGGGCAGCGTGGCGACGTCATCCCCCCCAGGGATGACACGTGGGGCGGACCACACCCCCCACACCCATGCCTGGGTCTGTTTACATATGGTCCTTGGCCTAATTTTGAATGTGTGGCAAGGAGGAAAAATGGGAGGGGGGAGCAAAAGACAGAGGAAGTGCAGGGGGACACACACAAGGAGTTTAAAGAGAGAGAGTAAAGATGATGTCAGCATCTTAAAAAGCAGAGACATCACCCTGCCAACAAAGGTCCATATAGTTAAAGCTATGGTTTTCCCAGTAGTGATGTATGGAAGTGAGAGCTGGACCATAAAGAAGGCTGATCACCAAAGAATTGATGCTTTTGAATTATGGTGCTGGAGGAGGCTCTTGAGAGTCCCATGGACTGCAAGAAGAACAAACCTCTCCATTCTTAAGGAAATCAGCCTTGAGTGCTCACTGGAAGGACAGATCCTGAAGCTGAGGCTCCAAGACTTTGGCCACCTCATGAGAAGAGAAGACTCCCTGGAAAAGACCCTGATGTTGGGAAAGATGGAGGGCACAAGGAGAAGGGGATGACAGAGGACGAGATGGTTGGACAGTGTTCTCGAAGCTGCCAGCATGAGTTTGACCAAACTGTGGGAGGCAGTGGAAGACAGGAGTGCCTGGCGTGCTCTGGTCCATGGGGTCACGAAGAGTTGGACATGACTAAACGACTAAACAACTGATGGCAAAGAAAGAGAGAGGAAAGCGGATGATTCCACCCACCTTTGGCTGTGCCCTACTTATTTTTTTGCTCTGACCCTGCCCATGACTAGCATTGAGCCCCTGAGACAAAGAATGAGGAGAAGCTTGTTCTGATTCTCTCTGACTGGCAAGGGCTCTCTCTCTCTGTTTGCAAGGAAGGGCCCATTCACATTCAAGAGCCTTTAGCCAAAGCTGCCCTAGACTTGTGTGCAAAAAAATGGGGTGGGGTGTGTGTTGAGGGGGAGGTTTGTGCTCTGCCACTGTGTTGCTTTTCTCCCTCTTCATTAAGGTAAAGACTAAATGGAGGAGGGGTGTGTGTATGTGCTAACCATTTCTAGGCTGTCTTGCTCCCAGTCATTCAAGGAAAGGCTGGGCTTAATGCCCTCATTATGGGGGTTTCTTTTAATGCTACGCGAAGGGCTTTTAAAAATTATTATTTCCCCAGGTGTTTAGAAATTCTTAAAAATTATTCTAATGTTTTTTAAAAATGCTGCTTTTATGACTTGCTGCTGGTGGTTTTTAACACTTATTTCAATTGTGATTGCTTTTGTTTTGCTTGTTGTTGCTTTAATGGGTTATGGCATTTAAATTGCATTGTGCACTACTTAGGGAATGCTAGCTATTGGTGCTGTGTGTGTGTGTGTGTGTGTGTGTGTAGTTATTAAGTAAGTAATTGCAATCAGAGCCTTGAAAAAGAAAGTTTAGAAAACATGCAGCCTAGAAATACACTTAAAAGAGAGCCAGAATGGTGTAGGGCTTAGAGTGTTGGACTAGGACCTAGGAGACCAGCGTTCAAATCCCCACTAAGCCATGAAGCTCACTGGGTGGCCTTGGCCCAATCACAGTCTCTCAGCCCAACCTATGTCACTGGGTTGTTGGGGGGGGGGAGAACTATACATGCCACCTTGAGTTTCTTGGAGGAAAAACGACTTATCAATGTGATAAATAAACTATATAAATAATAAAATTGCAGAGGGCCAACCCAGTAAGAGCTACCACAGTGTCTTTTAAAAGTTGCCGAGATGCACATGTCTCTGAAAGTCCAGCCATGAAGCCCCTGGGCATGCTCCTCTGGTTGGGAAGTTCCAAAGTGGAGGTTCTCCTCCCGCAAAGTACTTTTCTGCTTCCTCACAGACATTATTTCAGAAAATGGGGGGGGGGGGCGCGGACTGGGAAGGTTCTCACGTCCAGGGGCAGGATGGACACATGGAAGAAGAATTTATTTAATGCAGGCAGGGCCCAGGCCATCGAGAGTTTTTCGTGGTAGTGCACAGATCCTTCGTTTGGGTCTGGAAGCAAATGATACTTGGGTGAGAAATGCTGATCATTACACATGAAGGGAGGTAGGCATGTGGAGGGAAGGCAGGAAAGATGAAGGCTGCTATAAAGCGGGGCTAGCTCTCCCATTAGGCAGGGCGAGGCAGCAGCTTTTGGAGCACCATTAAGGGGGAGAAAATTGCCAATTATTTTCATTACGAGAGGTGCCATTTTGATTTTCTGCCTCAGACACCAAAATGCCTTGGGCCATTTCTGCTAAAAAAAGGAACAAATATGGAAGAGAGAGGCACGGCGGCAGAGGATAAATGGAGGAAAGGAAGAATGAATATACGGCTCAGGGAGAAACAGACGGATTGTTGCAGGAATAGAAGCCCGTGACAGAGCAGAGGGGTTAATGCAGCCTTCTCAGAGTGGGTAGGGCATTCAGAGAGCGAGTTTAAATATATGTTTAAAATGCTGCTGCAGTATTGCATTTGTATAGCATAGTGGACAAACAGGGTGCTTCTGGAATCTAGTGTGTTAGCTAATGGTCAGAGATTTTTCTTTCACAAGCTGGTTATTGGTTTTGGTTTAAAAAAAACTTGCACTGCTTAAATGAATGTAGCTCAGTGACAGAGCACATTTCCACACATGTGAAATGTCCCTGGTCCAGTCCTTAGTATTTCCAGGTAGGACTGGGAAAGAAACCCTGGAGAGATTGAGCTAGATGGATCAATAGACTGCCTTTGTATACAGCAGCTTCCTATGTGCCTATGCAGTTTCTGAATGTGTTTCAAGGGCAGCTCCACATAAAGCACAGTACAGTACTCTAGTCTTAAAGCAACCGAATACCAGCTCTGTCAAGCCTCCTTTCTCCCTTAGTTGTCACCTGGCAGCAGCCATTCCATCAGCGGAAGAGATGGGAAGTAGGACTCATTCCATCAGCTCTGCTGAAAGACCAGCAGAAACCTCCTGCCCCTGCACTGATTCTGTGTTAAAAGAAGTACTAGTTAAGAAATGGTGCCTGAATTTTTCTCCTCCTCTCCCTGTCAGGTTTTTAAAAAATAAATAAATACATAGAGTGTAAGCTTGCAGGCAATGACTAATTGATTGTATATAACCATTTAAATGACTACATAGGAGCCACCCTGGGAGCCTTTTTGGCCGAAGAGTGGGGTACAAATGCTCTAAATGAATTAAAAAATAAAATAGAAACTGTGGCAAGATGAGCTTTCTCTAGAAGAGGCTGCAGCTGGCACATCAGCTGAAACTGAGCAAAATGTGAGCTGCATGCAGTCCTCAAGGCCTTTTTTTGGGGCAGCCCTCAGCATCATTTGATGCCGCCCTCTCAGCCCTTGCACTGTCTTCCCAAAGCCATGTGAGCAAGGTGCTGGGCTTTGAGAAGGAGGCGCAAGAGCTCTGATGGGGTCCTAGAATCATCCTGCCTCATTCCTAAAGCCTAGTTAGTCCTATCCTAGCTTTGTGAAGGAGATGTGAGGACTCTAGGACCCTGCCAGAGCTTCGCACCTCCTTCCCAAAGCCTGGTCCTCTCTTAGCTCTGACCATACAGTATGTGGTGGTTGTTGCCCAGGCAGTCTGTCTATGTGTTTGCACTGGGGTTGGGTAGGTGGGGAAGTCACAGAGAAGTGAGATTTTGTTTGATGGTGCAGACATCTCTCCTACCTTTCTCTCCTGAGCTGCTTCGATGGCTTTTTATGTCAGATTTTCTGAAATAAAAACAGTGCCCCTCATTAGAAACCCATGTTGTTTGACTCCATAAGACCATCCCCCAATTTCTGTCTGCACAGTGAAATAAGATGCACAAACATGCATGCACTCCTGTACAGTTGCCCAAAGCGCTCTCTCTCTCCTCTCTGCCACAAATATTTAACATAAGATTGTGCACATGACAGTAAAAAAAATAAAAATGCCATTGAGCCACGTCTCCATGTTAACCTGAGATAGAAAAAGAAAACAAATTAACTTTCTGTTGGTTTTCTATTTGTACTGCACCTTATTCAAGCTAAAAAAGATTTGAGGCCATAACTACTCCATCTGCTACTGCTGAGCTGCCAAGCTCTCCATCCCTCCACCTATAAGTGTTTCAGGACACTCACCTGTGTCAGGGCACCATCATATCCTGCGTCCCACCAACCCCAAACTCTGAGGGGAAGACCCAAGCAGCATGACTAGATATTTGAGCAAGGAGACCAGTATTAGCCAGGGAGCTGTCCAGCAGTATCTGAGCTGTGAAAGCAGGTCCAGTGTGTGGTGAGCTGGAGCAGCTAGGGCACTGTCCACCAGTAGCTGAATTTGCAAGGGCCTGGTGAAGGAGCTGTTCAATCAAAGATACTGTACCAGGAGCTATCCGATGGAGACTGAAGAGCGTTATATTAGACTTGGCTACCATGCTTCTTCCTGGTAACTCAACAGGATCCTGATCTGCAGTTCATACCACTGCTTGCCTCTTCCTCTGAAGTATTTGGGCTCATCCAGACTTCCTTTTGTGTCTAAGCACAGTCCCACGTTATAAAGCTTTGAAAAGCACCATGTCCGAGTGCTTGCTTTTTTTTTTTTTTTGCCTTGATGCTTTCCTTACGAAAACTTGCTCTTTACCTCTGAATCGGAGCAAACAACAATCTGCAGAAAACCGGAATTGCTGTTTGTTCCTATTTGGCATTAAAGGTTTTCAAAGGGGCAGTGGTGGAGCAAAAGAAAAAGTGCTCTTTAAGATGAAGACCTGTGCCTAGAAAGCACGGCACAAATGGAAGTGTGGATGAGCCCTTTGTTTGTTTGTTTGAAACATTTGAATATCACCAACCTATTTGGATTTCAGGCTGGCACACAATCCATTTATATCATAACATAATCAGCAGCAATATAAGAATGCAATCCTCTTTTAAAAAAAAAGAAGTGACAAAAACAAGACCAAGCTGTAGCAGTTTATAATCCCTGGGTGAACAGAAATGCTTTTGCCTGGCTCTGAAAAGAGCACACAGCTCTGCGCTTTTATGGCTTATTGATGTCTCCCAACATTATTATTATTTCCTGATGATAACACTAAAATGAGAAATTGAGGGGAGGTAAGTGTCTTGCGTTTAGATTCAACTTGTTCTCATTTCAGGAATGAAGTTCCTCTACATCAAAGCCTAAGCAAATATCAGGCCACTGAAGAAGGCTCTGTTGAAAAGCTTTTGGCCAAATTGTTATTAAGGAACACTCATTTCCATATGCTTTAATGGGCATTTTGCCTTTATAAAGGTGATAAGAATGCTTGCTTTAATATTTTTACCCTGACTCTTATGAGTGGGATAAAATTATTTTTTTGTTACATAAACTTGATACAGTTCTTTTCCTTAACATTTTAAAGTTGAGCATGGTTAAGAATAAGGTAAAACTTGGACGTTTCTGCTGAAAGGGTTGCAACATAGGCACCTGGGGAGCATCTTTTTGGAGGGGATTCTGTAATTGAGGAGGGTAGAGGAAAGCCCTCTCCCTTGTAATTAAATAGTGTACATGCTGAGCTTCAGTGTGTTCTCTGCTTCTGGCACCTCAAGGGTGATAGTGGCAGGTCCAGAGCTAGGGTGGGTTTTTTGGGAGGTTGCTGGGTCCTTCAAAATTTCAGCCTCCTCAGGCAGGGTGTGGGCTGGGAATCCCGGGAATTCCTCTGGGAATCCTGATGCTCTGTGGTTCCAGACAATCTGGGCTGGGGGATGGAGTCTACTGTCATCTGGAGGCCATGATGATGCCCATCCTTGTTCTAATGGAATGACTCCAGTCATCATGTTAATGATTGAGGAAGGGAGACCATGGAAGTAGTATATCCCCCATGCAACAATAGCAACTTCCCCAGAAGCCTCCCCAGTATTTTCTAAGCAGGGTCAGCCCAAGACATTTTTCTGCCTGAGGCAAAGGACAAAGTTGTGCAGCCCACGCCCAATTCCCCAAGTATAGAGGCAGGTTGAATCTTTCTTCAACACTTGTAACAGTATCCTCCACCACCGTTGAGATTGACAGGCTAGTTTAGGCGGTGTACACAACTCTGTCTTCCATCAGATTGGAATGGCCAGGGGGCTGATGCTGCTGATCCCACCTCCCAGCCCTCAGAAGACACTGCCTTACTCTTCCCAATGGTAGGACTGGTCCGGAGAAAGATGAGAGACTGCACAACTTTCCCAGCTATGCCCTCCCCCTGGGGCCACGCAAGCTATCCCTCTTGATACCTCTTAGTCTGGGAGCCACTTTTCTCGCCAACGTAGCTCTTCCGGTTGGGACTCAATTCAGCGGCCTCCTTTTCTGACTTCTCAGCCAGCTCCTGGGCCTCTAGAGGCAGTTCAGGATCCTTTGTGAGTGTGTTCTCTGATCTGGAAGGCAGTGCTGGTGTTAGAGGCTGGAGGCTGCCCGAGCTGTCTGAAGATATGATTGGCTCACTTGTTTTCTTGGTCTCAAATTCCTGGGCACTGGCCATTTTGGTGGCAGTGTGAATATTCCAATTGCGCTTTCCTGAAGATGCATGTTTAGGAGATGAACTCTGAGGAAATGGAGAATGGGGCATTCAGCCAGGGAGAAAGATGACCAAAGAGTCATGACTTTCAGATCCAAATCCCACCCTCCATGTACAGATATTGCTCCAGTTCTCTAAACCATCAGCTAGGCAGCAGGAGGTTGGGCTTTGAAGCCCTTGATGTCCCACCTGAGACACAGGTACAGGGCTCATCCTTAACCCACTCTTCCCCAGGATGCAAACCCAGATATATAAGGTCTGCTCCATTTTCCTCTTCTTCCCATTCTGTTCCCCACCAATTCCCAGGGGCCAGAGCTTACTGACCTTGAGAGCATTCTTCACTTTGCCTTTGAGAGGCAGTGATGGAGCTGACGAACTGGGTTTCAGGCTTTTGGGCTTCTTCCCTTTCTTCTTCTTCGGATGCTCATCAAGGTTTTCTTCGGAGGGCGGCCGCAGCATTTGGACAATCCTGACCCAGGCATCAAAGAGATCACCTCGCTTGTCTGACTCACACAGCTGGAGGTAGAAGGTGCGGCCACTCACCAGCTTGAACCGCAGCTGCTTTTTCTCTGCATTGTGGATGCTGATCTTGACGTAACGCAAAGGGAATAACCTGCATAGGTGTGTGTGTTGAGGGAGTGAGATTGGGAACAGTTAAGGCTTTAAAAACTGCAGCTTACTGTTCTGCACCACTGAAATGATCATCTGTAAGGAAGAAAGCAATGAAAGTTAATCTGTAAGAAAGCAGATGCTCTGTCTCAGTAGCTCAGCAGCAGAGCATCTGCTTGGCTTGCAGAAGGTCCCAGGTTGAATCCTGGGTCATCTCCAGGCAGGGCTGGGAGTGTTTTCTGTGTGAAACCCCAGAGAGCTGATGCCAGTCAATATCGACAATACTGGGCTAGATGGACTGTTGATATGAATCTGTACAAAGCGATTTCCTATGTTTCTATGTGTACTCTTTCCAATCCAAGATAATTTATTCATTTGTATCTTTAATAGCAGGGAGGATGAATCATGTGGACTAGTAGTTTGAAATACTTGTTATAAGCTTGCTCATACAGTGGTACCTCAGGTTACAGACACTTCAGGTTACATACGCTTCAGGTTACAGACTCCGCTAACCCAGAAATAGCACCTCGGGTTAAGAACTTTGCTTCAGGATAAGAACAGAAATCACACGGCAGCAACACAGCAGCAGCGGGAGGCCCCATTAGCTAATGAAGTACCTCAGGTTAAGAATAGTTTCAAGTTAAGAACGGACCTCCAGAATGAATTAAGTTCTTAACCCGAGGTACCACTGTATACATTTTGAAAAGCCCAATGTTGTGCGATTTCATGGAGTTGTCTTCACAGAATTTGCATTAGGATGCAAATACCAATTCCTCCCCTCAAGTTAGCCTTACTCTGGGGTTAGTTTCTCAGCTGCCAAAAGGATAGGGAGGAACCTGGGGCTTACTCTTCACTCATCTGTGATTTCACCAACGAAGCAAAAGTTCTAGGAAGAACAAACCTCCAGTGCTTGCTGTACAGGGAAAAAAAGAGTCTGCTTTTGCCACCATCCTTTTCATGTTGAAGTCATGCTAGTACAATGATAACTGGAATTTTTGCCATCAACCTTTTACAAAAACAATCATCCTCAAAGCACATGGCTGTTGGCATTTCAAGCAGGGAGGCATCCCCACAATATCTTCCTATTCAGCCACAGGTTTGCTGGTGATGAGGACACACCGTTCCCACTAAAGCCATTTGGGCAAATACAGAACAACCAGAACAGGTGAATCTAGGTTCCAGGGCTGAGCCATAGAAACCTGTGACTCAAATTAAGCCCTACTTCCCTTGCTTCCTGCGATGTGCTATGGAAATTCACTGAGCATGGGATATTGTCACCGGGGAATGCCCCTGATGCCGCTGCAGAAAGACTCACCTGGTTAGCTCATATCTTGGTGGTGGGTGACGGTGGAAGATGCTTTTCGCCTTTGTAGTGTGCTCTTCAGATGGGGCAATGGGCCGTGCCAGGAGCAGCACATTTGGGATCAGCAGGACAGGGCTTGTAGAGGTAATGCCAAGAGTCACAATATGCTCCTGGTTGTGGATCTCAACTGGGCCACCTTGTTTGCTGATCTGAGGGTACAAGATAGACTTAACACACAGTTTACCGCCTTCTAAAAATGGACAGTATCTCAAACAGTCTCCCCCAACTTAGTGCCCCTCTAGATGTTTTGTAACACAACTGCAATAATTTCAGATGGTTGACCATGCTGTTGGTGGGGATGATGGGAATTGCAGTAGAAAAACATCTGGAGGGCACTAGGTTGGGGAAGTCTGGATGAATCCTTATTGCTAGTGTTTGTGCTTGGAGAGGGACTAACCTGCAGTGGAAATTACATGTACTTTCCTTTGCTGCCTGCCCTTTAAAATTTTATTTTCATTGGGTGATAGTCAACTAATTTTTAAGCAGTATAGATTCAGGACAGACAAAAAAAAAAGCACTTCTTCATGCCTTGCATAGTTAAAACTATAGAATTTGCTCCCACAGGAGGTAGTGATGGCCAGTAGCTTAGACAGTTTTAAAAAGAGGATTAGATAAATTCACAGAGGATAAGACTGTAAATGGCTACTAGCTATGTTGTCTACGCTCTTCGGTTGGAGACAGTAAATGATTCTGAATACCAGTTGCTGGAAACCACAGGAGGGGAGAGTGCTCTTGAGCTCAGGTCTTGCTTGCAGGTTTCCCACAGGCAACTGGTTGGCCGCTGTGAGAACAGGATATTGTGCTAGATGGGCCACTGGCCTAATCCAGTAGGCTCTTCTTATGTTATTATCCACTGAAATTAATGAACATGACTAACTTAAATCCATTCCTTTCAATGGGTGTCCTCTGAGTAAAAGTTAGTTAAATATCACCCTTACAGTATCATATGTATTGCATATGAGATTTCAGTGGGACCTAAGTGCAACTAAGTCTGGATTGAACTCACTGTATTTGTGGAGAATCTAGTGAATATATAAACTGAATATAATTTCCTTCTGACATTCTTCCAGCTATGAAGGTTGAAATATATATATGAACGACTTAACCCCAAAGGGTACAAGTTGGTATTTAACATAATTGCCTCAAAATCCATCAACAGACATGGGCTGGTAGCTTGGAACAGAAAAAATGGTAGAATGTTACCAAGTGCCTATAGGTGGTGAGCTGCATTTGCCTGATGCGTCACAAATCATGCAGGCTTGAACTAATCCCAAACAACCAATCACAACTAATCTGTGATGTGTGGATAATAATTCAGGGGTAGCCAAACTGGAGCCCTCCAGATGTTGGAGTATAACACCCATCATCATCGGCCATGCTGGCTGGAGCTGAGGGGAGTTGTAGTCCAACAACCCCTGCAGCGTGCCATGTTGGCTCCCCTTGGAATAATGATACACTAGCCAAGAGCAGAACTTTTAAGGCCCCGGAACCTATCATTTTAGGAATGAAACCATTTACCTAGCCTTGCTGGCCTGCACCTCTCCTTTGTGCCTGTTTAGATTCCTGCCTCCTACACCCGCACCAAACCTCCCAGGGGCTTACCTGGATAAAGTCACTTTCAAACATGGGGGAAAACTGGAACATTCCATATTCCCCCTGGCGCAGCTGGCGCTGGAGGGGCCCCATTTTCCTGGTGAAAAAGGTTTTCCCATGGCTTGCTTCTGTGCCTGGCATCTTGGAAAACAGCAAAGATTAAACTGAGAAATGGGGCCAAACTTTTCTAAGCATCTGTCGTAGTAGTCAACTAAGTTTTACTCAGCGTAGGCCCATTGAAATCGAAGGTCCCCCACTTGGTCATGCTCATTTAGTTTCAATGTGCCTACCACCCCTGGTTTTCAGATTCAAGTTTCCCTGTGCAAAGTTTGGTATTTGTAGAGGCGATGAAAGCTTTTCAGCTTCAAAATGTAGCCTTTTGCTCTTGCTAGGGTGGTGAATGCTTCAAATTCAAAATCAATGAAAAGAGCAAAGTTTTGTGGGAAGAGTGCTTATTTACCCTGTTGTTATGGTAGGAATCAAAAGCACACACACACCCCCAAGCCTATCTTTCTTCAGAGGGATACAACAGGGCTCAGAAACAGTGTAAATTGAATATTATACCAACATACTATTTGAATTCCAGGCCAAATCCAGTGCTAGCTTCAAACCTTTAGGGCCCTAAACCAGGGATTTGGAACCTCAGCCTTGAAAGCAGTCCTCTAGGTCTCTCTGTTTGTCCCTTGGGACTCTTATCAAACCACACCCCTTTCCAGGCTGCGCCCTCAAATGGCTCTGCTCTGTGCCTTCCATTAGTGTGGAGATGTGGAACCTGTGACTCTCCCAAATATTGCTAAACTGCAACTCCCATCAGCCCCAGCAAATGGCCAGGGATGGTGGGCCCTGGAGGGGCAAAGGTTCCCCACACTTGCTTTAGTTGTCCACCCCCCCCCAAAGCTGGAATATGTACTTGCACTGATGGAGAGAGATGTGCAGGATGTGGTTGTAGGTAGAAACCTTTGGCTTTGGCTGTACAAAGCTAAGAGTCACACCTGTTGCTCTGCCCACTTCTTCCTCTGGCCCTGCCCATCCCTGCCATGTGGCTCCCAGGAGGTTGCCCATAAGGGAGTTTGGCCCTCAGGTTGCACAAGGTTCCTCACTCAAGCGCTAAACAGTTTGGGACCAAGCAGCATACCTTAAGGACCACCTCCTTCCATGCAAACCTGCCAAGGTAGTCACATTAGTGCTGAAAGCTGTACCACACTTCCATTGGAGGTACACAATGACAGGTATGTGATACAGGGCCTTCTCAGGACTCACTCACACTTCCGTTTGTCCCATGATTTCTAGTCACGGGTCCAATAGTGTGTTGTTGTTGTTGTTGTTGTTGTTTGTCGTGCCACTTTCCCTGGGAAACCCCACTGTTTACCAGTGAATTGGAACAAACGTCAATCTGCAGAAAACCCAACTTTTTTTTTTTGATTCAGAACTAAACCGTAGGGTTTCCCGGAGAAAATGGCAGGACAAAAAAAGGAACTTTTGAACCTGTGACTAGAAATCCACAAACAGAAGAAGGACGAGCCCTTTAAGTTTGCCTAGGTAGCCCTCCCTGGAGCACTCTGCCTCTCTTCACAGCTGCTTCACAGAAGGAAGGAATTTGAAGGAGGAATTTGGCATTCTGATTAACATTGGGGTGGCCGTTTATGTATCCTCAAAACAGACAACAAATGAGGGCAGAGTGCCAGCTTGCCCTCCGCCCCCACCTGAAAAGAGGCAGTGACTGCTGCTGAGAGGTCAGGGACACAATGGCGCCCCTCCCTGCCAGCTCCCTCCTCCTCCTCCTTTAGCTTTAAACAGGACTTAGGCCAGATATTTCCTCTGACAGTCCTTAGAATAGACGGCTGTCCTCTGTAAGGTAGGAGACCTGGCCACCCTACAGGCAGCTGCCGTAATAGTCATTGCCCACAATGCTCTGAGGTCCTCGCATCCCTCCACAGCATCGAGGGCAATTACACTAATTACCACTCAGTGCTAGTTTGAGAGCTGGAAAAAGGGGGTCCTGGAGAGTGGCATCATCATCATCAGGCTCTTAGTAGCTGCCCAAGGATGTCGCCTGCTGACACACTGGGCCTGCTTTCAGCTAGCTGCAAAGACCTGATTCTTCCAACACACACTTGGGCTAGAAGGGGAGGGGGGTTATTATTTTGTTCTGTTCTTGTTTTTATTATGTATTTTGTCTTATCCTGTATTTTTATGCTGTGAACTGCCATGAGATCTATGGATGAAGGGCGGTATACTACTACTACTACTACTACTACTACTACTACTGCTGCTGCTGCTGCTGCTGCTACTACTACTAATAGAAGTGAAACTGTTTTTTGTTGGCTGTGCTGCTAATTTTAATATTATTGACGGTCTTTTTACTGTGCCCCTTGTGATTTTATGCTGCTGTCCTTTTAATGATTACATGATTGCTTTTAATGTTATCCAGCTTGAGATGTCTTTGACTGAAAGACAGGACATATTTTATCCTAATAGCAACATAATGAGCATATCTGCATTGCATGCCATTCTAACCCCACCCCCAGAATCAAAGGGATTGTAGTTCTAGTTCTCAGTGTTCTTTATGGTCAGAAATCTCTAGACCTCCTCAAAATAACTAGAAACTCCAGGATCCTCTGGCTAGAAGGAATGACCATTAGAGTTCAATATTGCTTTATAAATACAGCCTGTTAATTATAGTAGTTGGGGAAGGTTGGGGTGGGGGGAGGGGATACACACACACACACAAAGAGAGAGAGAGAGAGAGAGAGAGAGAGAGAGAGAGAGAGAGCATTTTGCCTAGGGCTATCCAGTGAGATCCATGGCTGAGCTCGGATTCGAAACCTGGTCCAAAGCTATCACCACTATACCATTATCCCTTTTGCCTTTGTGGAAGGGACTGAACCTTTTGCCTGTTATTTGACTCTAGTACTAATATGATCTTTGGGAGCAGTGGGTATAGATTACAAGCCCTTTGCTGGCACTAAAAAAGCTTCATTTTAGTGGGTTTAAAAGATAATTTTTTACTGCAAACTCTGGAATCTGGTAGGCCAGGAATAGCTAACACTGTGCCCCAGATGCTGTTGAACTTCTGCTCTCATCAGCTATGGCAAGCATGGCCAATGGCCAGGGATGATGGAATTGTATCATCATCATCACCACCATTGCCATTTATATCCAACCTTTCCTCTAAGGCACTCAAGGTGGTGTAAATAGTTCTCCCCATTTTATCCTCACAACAGCCCTGTGAGGTAGGTTAGACTGAGGGTGAGCAACTGGCCTAAGGTCATCCTGTGAGCTTCATAGCTGGTGGGGATTTGAACCCCACTAGTCCAACACACTAACCACTACACAGCACTGTTGTTGTAACCAGCAGCATCTGAAACCCTTGCTTGATATTAGCTTCTCCTTTCTTAGAGTCTAGCTTCACTGGGGGTTCACCTTGGAATCTGTTTTAAATACCTGGGCTCAGACCTAGAACCTTGAGAATAGAACAGAGTGCCTCTGTGAAAATGCAAATGGCCTTTGTTAACCTCTGAATAATCACAACTGGGTACCATAGTCCTGGGATTAGGGGAAGGACCTCCAGACAAGCAGACACAGCTTCTACAAAGATCTGAGGCCCAGCAATTCTTTTATTTTAAACTCTTAAACTTTTACCCTGTCTCACACCCCAGACACTTACCTGTGCTCACTCTACTCATGTTATCTTCTTGTCTATCAGATTCTGTTATTCAGAGCCTCCTCTTCTGTCACACTGGCAGGTGTTTTATGACATCACTGATGTCTCTATTGCTTCTTTAGCCCAATCATTGCTCACCTGGTTTACAGGTGACGAAGTGGGTCAGAGAGATCATATAAAATAATTAATCTATGTAAATCAGTGGCTGAGCAGAGCTTTGAACTCAGACTGCTGTCCAGCAGGATGTAGATGACAAAGCTTAAAATCCAGTGATAAATGATATAAAGTTTGATACAAACTTTAGATCCCCCTGTGTGTTTGTGTGTGTGTGTGTAATAACCCGTAGAGAAGGTAGGAAGAAAACAGACCATATAAAACACAATATAGTATGTTAAGTATACTGTTAAATAAAGAATTAAAAACAATGCCATTTTTTAAAATGAGAAATATAAAATAATTATATTAAAATGGTAAAAAAACCAATGTAAGGTGTTAATAATTTTAAAATTAAGGCAAGATCCTGTTCCAACAAGATTGAGTCCCATCAAACTGCTTTGAATCACATCGGGGGGAAAGGTGGGATATAAATAAATAATGATAATAGATTTCACACTTTTGGAATTCCTGGTAGGATCCTGTTGATCAGGTCTGAGTTCAGAGGTGCAAGATTCAAGTTCAGCTCCTATATGAGTCCTCCTTTCTGATCACAAGCCATGGGAAGTACCAGCTAAAATATGGCTTTGGAGATGCAGTTGGTTGTGGTTATAAAAGGGCTTTCTCAGTGATGGCCTCAGCTTTTTGGAATGCTTTCTATAAGGAGAGGCAGGCAGGTCCCAGCCCTGCAGATGCAAATTAGCGGGGGACAGGTCTCCTGAATCTTAAGAGTTGTGTAGAAAGTGGGAGTTTGCAAAGTGCAGATTTTCTCACCTTTTTATGACAAGTAGGACCTGCCAAAATTACTACTTCCCTGCCCCTCTCCACCCTACTCCCAACAGCCACTGCTGCCTCAGACTGAGAGAAGAGTAGGGCAACCCCAGGCATTCACTTGCTTGCACCACAGCAGCTTCCTAAATTATGGGCTGCAAGGTGGAGGCTTTGGCTTTATTGATCACCAGTCTGCTGTTGCTTTGGGGTGAGGAAGGGATCCAGTCAGTGGCCCCCTTAGCCTCAATTCCCCATTCTTGAAATGGACAGAGAGGTGACTAGTTTAACCGTATGGTGTTAGTGACAGTGAATCAAGAAATGGAGTATATTGCATTTTATCCAAACCAAAGACCCATCGAAACCATCCCTTTTTTCCCCAGATGGGGGGTAGCCGGCAAACCAGCCAAATCTCCTTTGTTATGTGTTGCTTGTGCCTTGCTTGAGCCTACTGCCAAGCACCTTAACGGGGTGGACCTAAGTTCAATCATGGAAAGGGGGAGAATAATTCTCCCCCCATCCACTCTCTCCATAACATGCCTCCCACTT